CAACTCAAGACCTCATCAATATTTCCTCAGAGTCTTCGTCCTCTTTAAGCTTAAACTATTGGGACGGGATAATAGACGACTATTTTGACGACATGACCAACAATAACTTACCTCTCAGCCACCCAGCCGAGTCTAACAACTGGTTAAGTGTTACAGGTGATGCTCACTCTCCTCAAACAAGACCCAACCTGTCCCTCAACACAGACCAACCGGCGATCATAGAAGTGCCAGACTCTACTGAGATAGAAGGCTTGGAGAACAGTCCAATCTTGTTGGACAATGCCCCAGAAGGTGTGGCCCCATTGATTTCCCAACCAATACACTCCAAACTGCGCAGGAACGTTGGATCCCCTCAATTCTTCGGAGATCGGCGATTTATAGATGTGGTTTTGGAAAAAAACTACCGGACTACAGAGTCAGTTACAGTGCACGACTACAATTTCAACCAAAACAGAACAAACATCTCCATACCCTCACCTTCAGACCTGTTAACACCATTAGCGGAGGCACTTACCCACGGAGGCACTTAAACTTACCCACGTCTCCGATATTCCCCGACAATCACTGATCTAAGAAACTTCTACAATTGATGACGAGAGAAGACAAAGTTATTTGGGACTTGATTGAGACAATAAAGACGAAATGACCAATGGGCATTCATGGAACGTATATGAGAAACTTTTCAAAGGACCTCCAATAAAAGTCGACCTACTCTTTCTAGACAACAATATAGTCGTACCGGCTACTATCAGGGGAACTTTCAGCGCAATGCTACACGAACCCCACCCAAAAGCCAGTTTGGGATGAAGTCTCTCGCGGAATACAGTTGGTGGCTTTACATTTATCGAGAGATTTACTATCACGGTAAGATTTGTAGTCAATGCCTGAAAGCCGGCAACATTACAAAACTGCCGACTCTGACTTTTGCTGACGAAGAAATAAATCTGGATTTCGCAGGACCTTTGGACGCGTTTTGGGGAACACAAAAATACATTCTCTCATGTATTGACCAATTCTTTAAATTCCTATCGGCCATGATAGTAAATAATACTTCCTCGAACACGGTTATTTTATTTTTAAACGACTATTGTCACCTTCACGGATAACCAAGGAAGGTTAGAGTCGACCATAGGTTTTCTATGCGAAAAATACAATATCGAGATCATTTATTGTACAGTCGGCGACCATCGATCTAATGGGCTTGTAGAACGAATGGTTTATACGATAAAGTCTAAGTTATTAGCAATTTCATTTATTTACCAAAACCTTCTTTAAACTCCTTGATCGAAAAAATTATCTGGAACCTTAGAATCAAAAAACAAGCTTCAACCGGTTGTACTCCGTTCGAGAAACACTTTAATCGAACGGCTAACACTAGACAAAAAAATCTGATTTCCTTTGATAACCGTTTAGATAAAGGGAAATCGATTCTATCTAACCGACGGGGCAGAAACTGGGAATTGCACGATGGTGCGGAAGACGGTTATTTTGACGAGGACAAAAACAGCCCATCGGACCCGGAAGACAACCTACCGCTAGCTCAGATAATCCCGAGCACACTTACACCAGAGGTTCACAACCAGTACAGAGGCCCAAGAAAATCGAAGAAATTAGTTGCTGGAGGTAAACTATATACAAGGGCTACCAACTGAAAAAATGGGGAACCTTATTTTAACTTAGTAAAGAAGGACATCGTTGACTCATCCGATCACACAATAACTCTCGATAACGGTAATATTTTACAAAAATCGGACATGGCTATCAAAGGAAAACTACTCCCCGGTCCCAAAAAAATTTCGGTCAACCAACCATCCATCGGGCACAATTCACATGTACGTTCGAGTTTAGCCGGTAAGAGTAAGCTATCTCCGCCAAAGAAGACTATAGTGACAGACAACCTCCAGCTAAGGCAAGGCACCTCAGGAGCGGGCAAGCCAACTCAGACGTCTGATTCGCCAATAGACGCAGAGACAACTCAAGACCTCATCAATATTTCCTCAGGGTCTTCGTCCTCTTTAAGCTTAAACTCTTGGGACGGGATAATAGACGACTATTTTGACGACATGACCAACAATAACTTACCTCTCAGCCACCCAGCCGAGTCTAACAACTGGTTAAGTGTTACAGGTGATGCTCACTCTCCTCAAACTAGACCCAACCTGTCCGTCAACACAGACCAACCGGCGATCATAGAAGTGCCAGACTCTACTGAGATAGAAGGCTTGGAGAACAGTCCAATCTTGTTGGACAAGGCCCCAGAAGGTGTGGCCCCATTGATTTCCCAACCAATACACTCCAAACTGCGCAGGAACGTTGGATCCCCTCAATTCTTCGGAGATCGGCGATTTATAGATGTGGTTTTGGAAAAAGACTACCGGACTACAGAGTCAGTTACAGTGCAGGACTACAATTTCAACCAAAACAGAACAAACATCTCCATACCCTCACCTTCAGACCTGTTAACACCATTTGCGGTTAGCGGAGGCACCACGAATACCTACCCTGGTCGCAGAAACTGCGTTGACCTGGTCTTCAAAGAAATCCTGCCCATCTGAAAGAGCAAATTATACACCGATTATATCAATTTCAAAAAATACCACCTCCGGATCCTACTCATCAATTCAACCTACCATCAATGACTCATTTGACGAAGAAGACAAAACTAGCGACATAACTTCGACTATCGACCCAGATGTAAAAACCAGACTAGATGATTTTGACGCAAATTTTAACTGATCTGCCTAAAACTAGCAGAAACTTTTCTTTTATTTCATTTTATATTGAACACACTTAATCGATCCTTTTATTGTAGATAACGTTGTACATGTTAACTGTACATCTTGTAGACTAGTGCTGTTTTTTTTATAGTTTTAGTTAATTTGTTTTTATCATATCTTCTGTATAACTGTAAACTCTGTGTATTCCCCTGTACATTTGTACTTTCCTATTTCATTCGTAGATGCTATTTTGCTTGCTGTACTTCTTTTTGGCGCAGTTTGTAAAATTCGTTCCTACTTTGAAGGGAAAAATGGGTGTATGTAGAATTAGTCAGTGAAATTGTAGTTTTATTTTTTTCCGGTGGTAAATGTTGTGATTTGTTTTTAGCTGATTTAAATGACCTTCGGTATTAATTAAATACCGGTCAACTTTGATCGATACGACCATCGGTCGATCATAGAGTGATCGTTCCGTTATTCTTTTAGAAGGTTTTAAATTCACACACTCTATTTTATCTGTTTTAGCTTCTTAAGTAATTGTACATTAGTTGTACGTAAGTCGTAGATCAACAGAATACTTTATTATAAATAATCTAAGAATGTTGTTGAAAGCATTAAAAATGGGAAATTGAGTAACATAAAAACAGTAAAGTTGCGAAGAAAAAAGTTGCAATTGATCAACAAGTAACCAACAACCAACTGTAGTTCATAGCCTAAATGCGCGCTGAAACTAGCGTATCAAAAATAAGGATAATCAATTATAATGGAGTTTTTTTGTTCTTATCTGTAAAAGTGAAAAAATGAGTAGAAGATAGTTGATTTGCAATGGATTCAAAAATTCAAAAATAAATACATCGTTTAACTATAATCGATTATGTTTTACTACCATATACACTGATAAGAAAACTCAAATTTAATCGATTTGGATTCATGGATCTCATCAAATTTAATGTTCGTTTTGATTTAGTGTTCTTTAGTCTTTATTTTATTTAGTCTTTATTTAGTGTTCATTTTTTTCTCAATTCATCATGACGCGTGATTGTGTAAATATGCTGCTTCTCTGGAAAAATGATGAGTCGTTTTAGTGTATAAGATTGCATGAGTTCCAACAAAACGTAGAGATTTGAAAATAATTGATGTTTTGACGCTCCGAGCCGAGTTTGTGGTTTTCGATTACACCCTTGCGACCTAGTCTTAAAATTTCTAGACTGTCGAGACTGAAAATTGATGTTTTTAGATTATGCAGATCGAGGAGGTGCGTCCGCGAACGACGCGATCCAGGAAAAGTTATCTGCAACCGACGGGACCGATGAACTTTCTCCGCAGCCGGAGCATAAATGAATCCGATAGTTACTGCGCGAAGCAATCAGCTCGAACTGATTAGAGTAAAAGTCACAATTTATCAGTCTGAGAAAATATAGCGGCGAGATTTTCTTTTGTTGCAATAGAACTGGGCTCGGCTCCGCCAAAAGCTTACCGCCATCTTTTTTTTTAGTCTATCGAAACCAAAATTCGACAATTTTAGATTAGGCTTGCGACTATACAAACATGTCCAGACTATGAATTTTCGGTCAAGGAATTAAAATCGGCGCAACTTTGAAAGTTTAAAAGTAAATCGCACGCCTCGATACGGATACTGAAAAGTGGAAGAAATTTTTGTGCTTGGATGTTCCTTTTCACGCACTATCAGCTAGAGCGAAAGTAATTAGAATTCTAAATTTTTGCCATTTTGGCACTAGTTGAGACTTTTAATTTTCACCAATGTGGTAGTTCAGGTCTTTTGAGCGCTCTTTTCAAAAAATAGAAAAAATATACTCATTTTCTGCTTTTTTTTTGGGGGGGGGAGGTTTTGGTGGAGTCAACACTAATTTACTTTTCGAAAACTTGAGCTTATCAGCTTAAAAAATTAAAACAATTGAAATCATCACGCGGTGATTAATTTACACGGCCACCTCCAAGTACGAAACTGATAATAACAAGTTCTCAAAGCTTGAAATGGCGCCTAATCCATCGCTCAAAAAAATTAAGACAAATTTTCTGAATCAAAAATGGTTATGTTTTTGACTTGATGTGACTCACTTGACCTCCTCGTCGACTACTTTCCTCCTCTCTCTAAAAACCATTCAGCTACTGCCTTTTTTTTTTTCATTTTTCTACCCCTGTTGTTAGCCGCTTTTTTCTATCTAAGAGAAACTATTATGAGACGTGAATTGAAATCAAACGGCCTTGTGTATTAGATTGGGTCAAATGTTTTTTTTTGATTAAGTTGCTAGTTGTATTTACCTTGACCATCATGAACCCTTTGCAGAGCAGCGTTCCTCCCTTCCACTCCACTGAAACAAAAGATTGGAGAATATTACACGTTACTTTCATCGGTTTTTCACTTTGAGGATAATCTAGGTGATATAGCTTGTACCATGTATGGCCCATTTGTCGTTTTACTCTGCATCCAATTTCTTCTAATAAATCTATTGAAAAATCTCGCAGAACAAAAAGTTTTTTCTCCTCGTTTGTTCAAAACTTTGCCGAAGATTTAATCAAGGATAGCCAGATGCTGTCCGTATAGCATATAATTTTCCGATCTCAATATTTCAACTACAATTTCAAAAATGAGGAAAATAAAAAAATCGAAAAAGTCTTTCGAAAAAATTCAAAAAATTGTTGTTTTTTTTTCATTTTATAATTGTTCCGACCATTGAAAATGAGGAGGAATTTTGTACTCGGGTGTGTTATAGTTTTTTTTCTTTTTGTTTTCAAGAAAAACCGGGTATCACAAACAATCATCGGATTAAGTTGAGTGATATATCATATTAAGGCCCTTTCAATTGTGATTCGAACCAAATTTAAAAATTTCCAAAAATTTTCCCAGTGTCGAGAAAAACCGGTTTGAAACTTTTTATTTTTCGTCTTAATTCAAGCGAATAAAGCCAGCGAGCAGGCTTACAACAGCTAAATTATGCCTAATTTAAGAACTTAAAACTTTTAAAAAATTTTAAAATTTTTTAAATTTATTTAGACATTTTTCTGACAAAAATTTTTGTCCATTCTGCCTGTATTACTATGACTGTCTAATATGCCTAAATTATATTTTTATGTCATATCCTTTTATCACACCAAGCAGAAAAAAACTACATTTATTTGGAAAAAAGACTTCCTAAACCGTAATTTTCTATAGACTATGATCGGAACATTCTGTGCTACTTACACAGTACCCGGCTATCCTTGTTTTCTCTTGAATTCTTTTACCGTAAATGGCAATTGAATAGGTAACAAATTTGCAAGGAAGTTAAATTTAGAGTAAAAATAGCGCAATGGTTTTGTGTGAGTTAATGCTGTCGTCTCCAAATTAGTGAAAAAATTTGTTGGAACTGATAGATAAATAAAATCTTCTTCTTCGTTTCTTTCTTTTTCTTATTCTTCTTTGCCAATTCCATTGTTCCTTCTCGTCACTTCGTGACGTGAAAAGATCAAAAATCAACTAATACTTTATTCCCTTCTTAGCTTTTTATCCCTAAAAATAACAGAAAGATGAAAAACTACGCTAATTATCCTATTCTCTTAGGAAGCAATTATGATATTAAACCTGAATAGCACTTGCCCCAGATTAGGTACGCTTTTGATGGTGTTTGTACGACTCTGTTAAAAAAAAAGATTTTCATTGTTTCAGTTGTACAAACTTAGTACCGGCAGAAGGGGAACTCTAGGACGTCACAAAATACACTCAACAAGAATTAGACCATGGAAATTACCTAACACGAACTTGATTAGATCTTGGTTCTTCGAATTGGAAAACGCCCTAAATTAACACAGGACTAGACCAATATTCTATATCAGCAATTTACCGTGGGAGGGGGGGTTGGGCGATGATGTTCTTCACCCGCTTTATGTAGCGCTCACTATATTTAAAGATACATGAAGCCCAATTAGAATTTAACGTTAAAAAGTAAAAAAAGTCAATGAACTTTTAGTCAATGTAATGCTTATTAATGAACTTCAACTCTACATATCCTGGTCCCCCCTTAGGTACAAGTTTCTGAGATCAATTTTTGGCCGGCAAACATCAAAAATTGTCAAAAGGCGCCTTGGGCGCCAATATAACTAAATTTGAGGGCGGAGCGCGCGCCGAAAAAAACGCAATTTTTTGGTCAAATATTTTTCAAAAAAGCTCAAAACGTCATTTTTAGCCACTTTTTTCTAAAGATTGCCAGCAGCAAAGAAAATTTTTTGTAGGGTCTTTTTAGTATTTTCGGAGAGCTCAGTAAATCAAATTGATCGGCCTAAGAATTGTTTTTTTTTTTCGAAAAACCACCTTCCTAAAAACATTTCTGAGCACGCCGCTGCCGGGGACATTGAAATACTCGCCCAAGGACTGCCATTGAATTATGAATCAGAGAAAATGATATCACTAACAGCTAGTTTGAAAATAATTTTGCATGGTTTATGGACAGAGCAGGCTGTTAAAACCCATTTGAGGTATTTTATTGATAAAACACCAAAAAATTGATATCTAAAGGGACCCAATATTAGCATCGGTGGTACTAGTCAATGGGATCATTTGTAAAGCAACGCAAAAAGCGCTGTTTCTAGATTCAAACCTGTGTGGCCCATTGTTCGTTGCAAGCGCTTTCCCCTTGAGTAACCAATCAAGCAAACCCGACCCGGATAATGTTGAATTTTTCGCCATGCAAACTCCAGTTTGCCATGTGACAAAAATGGCTTATGTTACATCATAAAGTGCTTAAGATTTTCCCATTTCAAACAAGTATCGTGGTCCCGATAAGCTTATCGTAACTGTTCAGTCAGTTTTGGCCATGTGGTCAGAGTTATTTGGAAAATTGCTGAGTACAGTTTATAAGAACAGTTGTATTTTTAGATTTTGTGGAAGATGTAAGCATAACTTATTGCTTAAAATTATTCAACGACGATGTGAAGGACATCAGTCACTAGCCGAATCATTTGATATTGAACAACTAGAATATCAAATGAACATCAACAACTTTTAGAATCTAACGTACATATTCATCATGAATGCTCATGTATGCCACGGTTGCCGGGTTATTGAGACAAAACCGCAGAGGCGGAGACACTGTGTAAAAAGCTGCTGCAAAAGTTTGGGTTCGTAGAAATTTTCTGTTTATTTAAAATGACAAAACCTGTTATAAAAGATTGTGTAGCTAGGATTTGAAATGATAAAAACTGGAACAGTCTGCGAGTAAAAAACTAAGCTATTAGAAAGCTGGACACACGGAAAACAAGGAAACAAATAAGATTTTTTATTTGATGCACACAATTTTTTTTCTAAAGTGCTCTAAAAATGTGAACTAAAATATAGGGGGGTTTGAAAGAAAAGCTGAATTTAAATCTTTCTTACCAGAGGAGCCATAAGATATGAAAATTGAAAGGGATTACCATAAATTTTATGGCTTGCGAAATACATAATCTTGAAGTGATTGCTGCTCCATGCAAAGTTCTGCCGAAAAATACCATAGTTCTTCATAGATGTGATGATTAAATGATGATTTATCGATGAAGCAGCGATGAATAAAACAACGCTAATCATCAATTGGCAATTAAACGTACTTGAATCATTGATGTACTTCATTGAGTTTTAACCGAATCAACGATAATTATCTCTAAAGCTGATGAACCTACGTTCCTGTTTCCTGAAAAAGTCAGCAAAAAAATTGCGAAGTTGAATAAGTGCATACAATAAAAAATGCTTTCTCGTCAAAGTTTAAAAGCTCATTTATGTTATTTAAAATAGATTAAAAAGTTATTTTAATTTTGAGACTGTATTAAAAAACAAAAAATTGTTTCAAATGTAAAAAATAAGTTGTTTGCAGTATATCGCCAAATTTGGTCTTTCGAGTTGGTTTTTCATTTAATTTAGAAAACTTTTTTTTTGAGATTGTTGCTATTAGACAAATGGTTTCTTTTTTTAGACATCTCGTATGTCTTTCAATTTTGTCCTTTGAAACTAGTCTCAAAATAATTAACGAATATGTTTAGATTTGAGCATCAGCAGACAATTGACTTAAAAAGATCATTTTTTAGGCGTTTTGATGAATTTTTTAAAATAAAAAAAAACTCAGTTTTTGAGCAGATCCCCAAAATTAAGTTTTACTGGCGCCAAAACTGCCTTTCGAAAAACTTTTGGGTCTGGTTGACGAAAATTAATGTAAAACAATACTAAAAGTGGAACCTTAAATTGATCAATGGAGTGAATTCCTCAGGGATTGTTGTAACTTTCATGCGAACTCACAATAAACCATTCAGCACTAAAAAATTTTTTTTGCAGGACTATTAAAACAAACTCAAAACGAAACAAGACTGCTTGTACATCAGGGCCAGGCCCTGAATATTCAGACCGCCCCATAATCCATATCTAATAGTTTTTGGGAAACAAAATATTTAAAAACTATAAATTTTGGACAATATTAAAGATCAAGAGTGAAAATTTGAGTCGTACCAAAATAAAAGGACAATTAGCTAGCCTCAATTCAATTTGAAACAGTTTTTTTGCGGGATAATTCGCGTTAAGGCTTCTACTATTATGGACAAAGTCTAGAAAGTGCGCATAAACTAATCCAGAGCACTTCCAAATTTAATCATTTTCAAATTCTCAAAATTTAAAGGAGTCGATATTTACAATGGGTCGATATTTACAATGGGGCAAAATTTAAAGGAGTCGATATTTACAATGGGGCAAAATTTTTTTTGTTAAAAACTATTTTTTTGATTGCCGAAAATTGACCGAAAAAAGCCCTAGCATAAATATTCTTTTGAAAGTCGGAACAACAAGACTGCTCAATCAAAATTGGCAAAATTGGCAAAATTGGCAACCTTTAAACCCTCATAATTTTAATAAAAAATTATCTAATTTCTTCGAAAACAGTTGAACAAAAACAAAACTTAAGAGTTAATACAATTATCTGTTGTCAGATTTCTTCAGATTTGTCTATTTTTGCAAAGTAAAATTCCTGATTTTTGAATGCTTTTGATCAAAGCATCCGTGATTTACGTGTAGATGATGGAAATATCGACTGTTCAACAACAAAAAATTGATCATTTTCCTGAATTTTTTAGCAGATCAACGGAGCGATGAGCAATCGTGAGACAATGTAAGAGAACAATAATGTTGTTGGGAAGTATCTTTTTTAGGAGCACAACGCAAAATTTACGGCTAAAAATAAACAGTTGCTGAAATCCATTAAATTCCGTGTGTAGGAACGTTTTAAGGTCCTTTGACCAAGAATCACTGAAGCCATGATCCTAACCACGAGTGTTTGGGATGTAAATTAACAAGACTGCTCGTATCAGGGTGAAGCTCTGA